CGAGCCCCAGTGGCCCGGAGCGGCGTGGCGCGCACGGCAGGGCCCGGTCCGGAGACCCAGGGGCCAGTGGGTGGCGCGAGGCCCCACCTGGCTGATGTCGCTGGTCCACGCCGCCTTCTCCTGTCTGGACGAGGCCACGAGGATGACCGTGAAGGGCGGGGAGTCCTTTGGCTCCACCCCGATCTTAAAATCCAAGTGGTCGACATCTTGACCGGACCCTTTGGCTTCCGGTTGCAAAACACGAAGTCAGCGGCGCGGCCCAGGCGTGGGTGGGGCCTCCGGGGCGCTGCCTCTGCGCTGCCTCGGGGTGGGGGCGCTGCAGGGGGCGCGCTGGGGCTGGGCACCGCCCGCAGCACGCCCTCACCTTGGTCAGGTGCAGCTTCCCGCCCGAGCCCCGGGTGCAGATGATGAGGTGCTTGGAGAACAGGAAGCACTGGCGCTCGCCCTCCTTGCGCAGCGACAGGGAGCCCAGGCGGCCCCGGGTGATCTTGCCCTTCTCCGACATGGGCACCTGGATGAGGGAGCCTGCGGGCCGCGCAGCCTGAGCCCGCCGGGGCCGGCGTGGGGGGGACGCGCCGCCCCCGCCCCTTCCCCACCCACCCGTGCAGCTCTTCTCCCAGCGCCCGACGCAGCGCCACCTCCTCCGGGGTCCCCACCCGCCACTTGGTGCCTGTCACACACCCCGTGCAACACACTCACCCGTGCACACACGCCCCGAACGCACACGCCCCGAGCACGCGCTCACCCGTGTGTACACGCACCCCGCACACGCACCATTCCCGTGCAGCGGGGCACACCCTGTGCACACCCACTGTGGCCCTGAGCTGTGCGCTCTGCTGCCCTGGGGCAGGTCCCGGAGGTCTGGCCGGGCCTACCCTGCCTCACGAAGGTCTGGCTGGTGTCCAGGAGGATCTCGCAGCCCTCGATGATCATGCGCTCGATGGCCAGGTTCTTCCGGATGTTCTCGGTCTCGCTGACTTCATCGTGCATGATCCTGCGTGCCCAGGGCCAGGTCAGGCTCGGGCACCGCGCGCCCGCAGCCCCGCAGGGCCTTTGCGCTCGGCCCTCGGCGCACGAGCCTTGCGGCCCTCATCTGTTTGGGCAGTGGCCCGCTTGGGGACAGCCGGCAGTCCAGGCGGCTGGGGCTGGCTGGCTCCCGCCGCTTCCACAGGCCGGGTTCTTTCAGGGAGCGGGTACGCTGGCACACGCCACTGGGCAACTGAGGGCAGGGGGAGGGCTGGCCCGAGAGCCGATGGGTCGCAGCCTCGGGTCCTTGCCCACCCCGCGGTCAGGGCCAGCCGCTCCCACAGCTGCCTGCGGCGGGGAGGGGGCAGAGGACCCCGGGGAAGACACCCGGCCCGGCCGCAGGCCGCCCGCTCACCGGGACAGCTCCTCCAGCTTGGACTTGGCGTAGTCCAGGCTGTTCCGCTCCACGTGCTCGTGCGGCGTGTGGGCCAGCAGCTCGTGCAGCGTGAGGATGTACCTGGGGATCTGAGGGCGGCGCGTGAGGCGGGGGCACCTGCTGCTGGCTGAGCCCCGCCCC